AGGGCTTTAGTGTTCCTCACCAATCTGCCCAGATATATTGTTACTTATCACAGAATCACAGAATCACTAAGGTTGGAAAAGACCTATAAGATCATCCAGTCCAATCATCCACCTATCACCAATGGTTCTCGCTAAACCGTATCCCTCAACACAAAATCCAAACGTTCCTTGAACACCTCCAGGGTCAGTGACTCCACCACCTCCCTGGGCAGCCCATTCCAGTGCCTGACCACTCCTTCAGAAAAGTAGTATTTCCTAATATCCAGCCTGAATCTTCCCTGGCGCAGCTTGAAACCATTCCCTCTAGTCCTATCACCAGTTACACAAGAGAAGAGGCCAACCCCCAGCTCCCTTCAACCTAAAATTATTATGGAGATTCTGGCACTTCCGTCCTTGCTTGAAAATGAGGCACCTCAAATATGCTGATACTTGACAAAATTTATTAATAAAAGAAATTTAGAGTGAGTTTATAAGCTTCTGGATTTTCTTTTATCATTTGATATTTATCATTCATTGTTCAATTTCACAGATTCTTAAATCACAATAAGAGAAAGCTACGCAGCCATTTTTACTTCATTTGGAAATATTTTCAAGGCAGTTGTTCTTGGCAAAGCTTAAGTTGCTTTTGTAAAGGCTCAGTGAAATAAGGAAAACTGTTTCTACTCTTCCTGATTGGAAGCTCAGGCTACAAGCTCCAAAGTTTTTGAATTCATAAACTTTTAATATGTAATCTGGCGTGACTGTTGAGCAAGCCTTGTAGGAACCAGATAAAAGTTATCATTAGATTCTTATCTAGCTGTGATGAGGTTTGTTCAACAGCTGTTGTGGGGAGATTTCAGGTTTGCTTGAACATAAAATTCCAAGCAGAACTTAATAGATTTGAACCTGCAGGAGACAGCTTTATTTTCCCAGACAAAAGTTGGATGCCATGCTAAGTGATTGACTGGCTGGCTTTGGGAGCTGCATCAAGACAACATGCATTCGTGGGGATTTTTGGACCTTACTAGGATCAAAACACTGAATATCATAGTGAGACTTTGACAGTCCTCCCCTTTTATGACTCAGTCACCAGATGGAACAAAGAGCTATTTTTGAAGTTGCTATGAAATGCAAATGTTCAGTCACACAGACATCATTTTAGTGTTTTTGAAGACCAAGAGGGGTATCAGACAGGAGAGCGTAAAGTACTTCTCAGCGTGCTTTAAAAGCTAGATAAAACAAAATGCTTTTTGCTTTTTCCAACAGCACTACTACAGAATGTTTAAGTGCATGGAAATACATATTTTCAGCATATTGAGTACAATAAAGTTCTTGACCCTCAGACAATCCAGTCTCAAAACCACCTGAATTGAAGCAATATTGCTGGTAATTTGTGATATTACTGATATTAGATCCTTGGATGTAGATAGGATGACAGTAAAATTTAACTGCTTGGTTCAATCTGACAGAGCACTCATGCTCTTAGCTATTACATCCTGGGGCTATGGTTATTACTAACTTAACTCCAGAAGAGATTCTTACAGAACAAATTTAAAAATACAGGAATCCTTAAAGGGCCTTAGAGGTCTCCATTGTTACTGGAATTTGAAGACACTTCACAGTGTAGCACTCTGAGGCCTTTTAAACATCTGTGACTGTAGCACTGGAGATGTAATTGCTGCTGCCTACCCAAATTCATTGAAATTAATGAGTCTGTAGATAGCAAATATACTGTACAGTATGGCTAGGATTGCAGAAGTGAATTTAAATGAAATGACAAACCATTAGCAATTGTAGCAACTGAACTATTAAATGCTGTCCATTTTATTGCTTTATAGCTTTTTGTAATCGTTTTTAGAATTGACGGTCGTATACCAGAATGAGCTAAAACAGCAAGTTAGCATCCTTTGTATGTTCATTACAGTTGTGTGGCTTTTTTTCTGAAAGTATATAAAAACATGATAGGATATATCTGGAAACAGAGAAGTTGAATGTGCAAACTATTTTTAGATGAATAAATTACTGAGGAGTATGCTTGATTTCTTTTTGTTTGTTTGTTTGTTTTTCCAGGAAGCCTTTTTTTCTCTGCTTTAATCTTTTCAAAACAATTCATTACAAAAAGCAATGAAAAAGGGATAAAATAAACTGAAAATTATGCAGAATACTTTAACTGGACTAAAAACCCCTATGTTTATAATATCAACTTCAGCTGATATTTTATTATCTAGCTTTTCAATTTCATCTTTATATCCCTTCACTTGTTTGACCAGGTACAGTTTTAGGTGAGAAGAATTTGGAAAAAATTCATAGTTGGTTTAGCCCCTACAAGACCAAACAAGTCTGTACATTTTTTGTACACCACTGCTAAAATTTAAATTTTTTGCACCAAAGCATATAGGAAGACCTTACTTTCCATGTATCTGCCATCTGTTCACTACGGTGAAAATGCTTTTTTTTTTTTTTTTTGACAAGGGAGAGATTTAGTACATGAAGTTATGGTTATGCAAAAACAAACAAACAAACAAAAACCAACAAAAACATCATGAAACTTACAATATTAAATATTTTCACATAACATATTCTTTTTCACCAAAGTAGTGTTGTGATAGATCTGACATAAACACTTTGCAGATTTGCACCGACTTCAAGGACACTTGGAGCTGCACAATTTTTAGCTGCAGAAGTGTTTACCTGTGTCATTGAGTCCGTGTGAACATGTAACTCCTGTTAACCTCACTGTAAGCAAAATGCTCACGTTTTATGTGATACTGAATTCATTCTTCAGATCTGATTAATTTATATCAAAGTTTTATTACTGCCAATGCTTCCTTGTTCCAGGATTGTGTTATAACTGAAATTCATTTGAAGTATTTGTCAAGAAGATGTGAAGTAGAATTATAAATCATATGGAAATGTTTAGAATTGAAAGAATAAAAATCTCAAGGACTATTAAATACTAAGCAAAATCTTCAACCTGTTAAAATATCAGCTGTAAATATTCTGAAATGGAATGTAAATATTATGTTGCTGAAATCTCTGTGCATAAGGGGCTTTAATTTCCAATGGGAAGTTCTGTTATTTCAGTAGTAAAGACATTATACTCTTTAAAGGAGTTAGTGCTATATATTGCTAATTCCTTGCTTTCTCATTTCTTACCCAGAAAGCCACAGCACAGCTGATTAAGTGGAACTGTGCCTATTCATAAGAAGAGAAAATGTCTTCTCAGAATTGTTCCTATTGTGTTTTTGCGGAAAGATTATGTTTAGGGTTAATCATAACAAACTGAAACAACAAGAACAAAGAACACCTTTTGCTGGTTTTGGTTTTTATTAATGCTTTTGTTGTTTCCCTGAATTCATAGAAGGGCTTGTGCACATTGGATGGACTTGTAGCACGCTACAGCAGTACTCCTTAAAATTGTGTCACGTAGAGACACAGATTATTTTAGCCAGGTGACATGATCTGTTTGAACAAACTGCAAGTCTATAGCCGCAGCACAGATAAAACTCACATCCCTTGGTTTTTCATGCCTATACAAAGAACACACCCATCAAAACCAAAACTGATATAAACAATCTATCCTCAATGACTTAATACAAAAAGCACACTTGACTGAATTTTTATGGTCTGTCTGAGAAGATATAAATTTGGGAAATCTCAAATTATGTGTTTGCCATAACAGGGAATGTTAACATTCCCTGCTAAACAGCTTAAGTCTTCACTCCTGCACAGGTGCCATTCTAAAATGACTCTAATGGGCTGAATGAAAGTAGTTTTTTCTGATCTGTAATTATGCTGAAAGATGGTGAACAGTTTATTCTGATCTTGAAAAACTTTGGGAAATTATAAATATATAGAGAGGTAGAATATAAAAGCAAAACCAGAGTGTTAAAAGTGAGTATAATTTTTTCCAAAGAAAATGTCAGCAAGTGAACAGTGGTTTACAGAAATAAATAATGTGGGGCAAAATTATAAGCATTCAGATTGTTTTGCTGTTGGTTTTTACTGCCTTTCTGTTTTGCACCACATTTCTTATTTATTGGTGGAGTTTAGGGTTGGGGAGATTTTTCCAGAATTGTTGAAAAGGAAATAGCATCTTTCCACTGTCACAGACTCAGATGCTAGGGAGTTAAATATATATGTCTTGTCTTTTCTGATGTTAAGATATCATTTGGCATTAGCTGGATGTTTTTAATCTACTCGGGGGTAGAATTTAATCTGTCACAGACCTTACCTGTTGAAGTAGAAATATTTTTTTTGTTGAAGCTGCACTTAATGTTCTCATTCTAAACCAGTTTAGCAATTAGTTATTTCCAGATCTGATTGAAAATGAGTATTAAAACATTTAATTAAGGGTTGGCAATGTCAATAATCTGCCTAACCTTGTCATTATTGCTGCCTGAACTGTATTTTCAGTCTTTGTTAAGGAAAAATAGATGCAATTGCTCAAGCACACTGCACAGGAACAGGAACACAACTTCAAAACCTTGCCAGAAAATCCACATCACCAAAGCTTTTCCTGCTGCCACAAATCCCATCTTAAGAGCAGGCATAATTTCATACCAAACCTGCAGGCACTGGATGCAAGAGATCAGATTCTCTAGAGTCCTCAACCTCATATTGCTGTGCAAAGGACCAGCAGAGAAAAGATTCACGTTTCCAACCTGCTGGCTCGTAGGTTTGACCTTCAATGTTGTCTTTTTCTTCCAGCTAGCTAACGGAGATAAACCTAATTACAGTGACAGAGTATGCTGTTTTCTGTCCAGCTGAAGGGGAAGCCAGAGGAATTCAGAGATAGCTTAGATAGGAGAGAAGCTTGTATATCTCCCTGAGACAACACATGGTAGAGGCTGGTAGGGGCTCGTGAAGGCTGTCACAGCCAAAGGCTGTAGGATCTGTGAGTGGAAAAGGTAAAGAAGAAACAGCCCTGAGCTAGACAAAAGAGAATTACTCAATTATAAGTTATGACACTTGATTTGAAAAACAAACAAAAATACTTGTCTCAGTGACTATACTGAAAGGGATTTCTTTCTGAAAATACTTACACTTTAGAAGACAGTGTCGTGGTAGGGATGAGACCTTTTTAAACTATGAAGTCATGTTTGATTTTAAAGAAAAGATGTTGGTGAAGAATTAATGATACATCTAGGGCAAATTTCCCATTGTTACCAGATTTATTTATGTCTGTTATCTTAAGTGTGATGGAGGTTGCTTCTTACAGTTGTTTGTGGTGCAGAAATTTAGCTGCAGGTCATAATGCCTCTTCTCTATGTGCTGGCACAGAGATTCTGGAAGCTATCAAAGCATCTTTCTTTCATTTTTCCCACTCTGTCTTGTACAGCCAGGCCAGTTGCCTATAGGTAACACTTGCAAATACACCAGTCTGCTGCACTCTTTCTCAGGGACAACTGTGTTTTTCATGGTGAGCCACTCTTACTGCACAAAAGTTTTATTTATCTTGATGATAAGAATATTTTCCCCACTTTAGACAATCATATTCAGGGATCTGCAAACAAAAATTAACCTTACTATGCATATTCAAACATTTTCTATAGTACCACCAGTATAAAGTCCTCCTTTCTTGCAAGACTAACTTTTAAGACTAATTTCTGTTACTGTTGGTATGGATGCACATATCCAAGACATGTTTAGAGTTCCTTATGTTTATAAACAAGAAAACTGTCTCTTAGTTTCAAAATAGGCCTACAAGACAGCTGCTGTTAGCTGGTATGTACATTGCTTTATATACGGCAGGTGGAGTTGATGGGATATTGCTGTTTGGTGGTACAGTGTGTACGTTCTATTCCTTGTACAGAAATAACTGCTCAGGAGGGTGGCATGAACAGCTTTGCATTTGCAAATGTATTGACTGTCTTTTAGTAAGATATCTTTTCTTATTTTGCCATGTAATGTAATTTTGGGTGGAAGTAACAGAGCATGATGCAGCTGGTACCATGACGAGGATGTTATTCCAGGCAATCATTCTCAGCTTTGGATTTTTCTGTGAGATGTATTTTTTGTCTGTGAACAAGTTTAACAGCAGATGATGTGTGAGAAATACATTAGTGGTACACTGGTAAAGTAAGCAACTTAAGAATTTAAGAAAATTCCTTTGCTGTTCTCATCTGTAATGTTTATCTGAATTTCTATCAGTGATTATGTTCTGTAAAATTTGAGTATCTGAAGGGTATGGTACTGCATTATCAGTCCTCCTAATTCAAAACGATCATCACTACAAATAAAAACTACAAGCTGTGTTCATTTCATATCAGATTTGAGTTACACTTCCCCTTAACCTGTTTTTTGGCTCAGTAGGGAAGGTAATTGTAATTTGAATGTAAGTACTTGTGTTTGTACTGCTTCTAAACGAGAAAATCTATGACAAAGATTTGGTGAACGCATTTGGGTAGCTTCACAACTTGGCACACTCCCATAAATGTAAGCATGCAAGAAGAAGTATTTCCCTATTTAAAGTGGTGACTTGAGTTCTGGTGGTTGATGGTTTTTGTGGAGAAGTAAGAGTTTTGTGGCAAGGGGTGGTTCAGAGACATACATTCTGCTACTGGGTGCTTTTTTATCTTCCAGCGGTCTTGGAGATAACAGACACAGCAGTTCTTTCCCTCTAGTTGGAAGTATGCAGATGGAGACTTTTGCCATTGTGGTACATGTTGTAGGAATAGCCTGCTGTCACAAGGGACATGCAGTTTTACATTGTTCCTCAGAACAAGAGGAAACATGGGAGTTGTTTAGATACAGCATCTTGATAACAGAAATGCTATTGTGCAGGTCAAAGAATAGGGGTAAGTCATAACTATTATACATACATGCATGTACTTGAACACAGCTGACATTTTAATGTAAATAAAAGTATTTCCATTGAAAGCAAGTGGTGACATTGCATTGTGCTTTACAATTGACAATTCATGTTACAGTGATCAGAATCTGAGGAAGCTAAAACTTAAATCTGTGTTACCAGTTTCACCTGATTTTTCTGTATCTAACTTCTTTTTCTACTTATCTACGGTAGCATTTTATGGAAAGTAATATTAAATTCCAAATAGGAAAAGATATCCTGAGATTAATGTTTCTTTTTTTTTTTTTTAATTAATTATTAAAGGTCATAATTTCTACTTGTAACTTATCTTTATTTCAAATAATGATGCTGATATCTCTTGCTTAAATCTTTTTAAGAGTGTATATAATGCTTCTGTAATTTTCCTTATTTTGCAGGGTGGAAATATCAAGATCAGAGGACAGACTTATTTCTGCTTCTTATATACTTCATTTTCTGAAGAATATTTGAGTTAAATTTCTGTACTAATAGTCTGCCCTCTGCTTATGCCTTCTTTAAGACCTTAGTGATGAAATTCAGCATATAAGACAAAATTTATTGAAATGATTCTTCTGATCTTAAAATCATTTAAGTTTGAATATCAAATGATCACACTGAAGACAGTTTGGTCACATTTCTTTCTATGGTAGGGATTGAAAATTCCTAATGATGATTCCTCATGTAATGATACATTTATTCAATGCATTTATTTAAATAGTTTACGTTTCCATATATGACTAATATTTTTAAGAATATGAACCAAATTGTGCCGTGTCCTTCTGCAATAAATTCCTGATTCTGATCCAGAACTATCTGAAATGAAAAATATTTCTTGCATCGGTTCAGTTCTGTATGTGTGTGTGTGTATAAGGCTTATCCTATTTTTTCCTTGATCTACACAGTTTCAAGGCAGCCTGTCCAAGCATCTGCTATCTGCTTCAAGGGACTAAAGCCAATAAGAATCTAGCCAAGAGGTAAGCGTAAGCCAAGACTGAGGCTTTTTTCTTCTCTTTGCTGTGCGGGGACCATTAAGTAAGAAGAAAAACACACAAATCTATTATTTTTTCTCCTCCAGGAGAATCAGTTTCGCTCTGGTTTAAGTTTTCTTGACGCCTTTATCACCTCTAGAGTTAGATTACTAAGGAAGGGAAAGGAGATGCTTAAAATTTCTGTTTTTGTATTGACAGTTTATAAAGTGTTAGCTTTGTAGGGACTTCCAAGTGAAATGTGCTAGCTCTAACTGCCTAGTTAAACATTTGTATGAAACAGTAGACTTTTTTTTTCCTGTACTCTATAAATAAATTCTTCCAATAGAACATACAGGGCAAAGATATTGGAGCCTATGTGGGATGAAAATGATTTTCTAAAGCCAGCAAGATAATACTTTAAAAACAACACAATAATGGAAAATCATTCCTATATTTCAGTGGCTAGGAAGCAAACAGTTGGTGCCTGGCATTCTGTGCTGATGGGACAACTCGACAGAAGTGCACATTTGCCATGATCTTTTCTGGGAGAAGTGCAATCTTCCCATTACTGCTATGGGAACTTCACATCAAGGCTGAAGATGTTATTATGTGTAAGTTTGATTAAGACACAGTGGGCTGCCAGAACTATAATTATTTCATATCATCAATAGCTCCAAATAAGTCAAAGTAGAGGTAGATGCCATCAGTTCTTACAGAGTCTAGCAGTTAAGGTGAATGCAGTCTTGTCTCCTGCCTAAGCACTTGTAGGCATCCATTACCACGTAGAACTGTCAGATAGAGCTCTTTTTTGTTCTGAATGTCTTTTCTTGGTAGAAAAAGAGCCCAAAGGAACCCATTGTATGTTGTAGGATATCTTTTGCTAAGGAGGAAAAAATGGATGACTTTGTTATTATATACAAGGCTTGTTCCTCTTTCTTACTGTTGTGTAGAGCAACTCTGTCCTCAGCATTCAGTGCATCTGTTTCATATGTGCCTTGAGAATAATTATTTCAGAGATTACTGCATATTTTAGCATTACTACAGTAAAGATCTTGTTACTGGGTAGCTTTCTTTCTTCTCAGTTTTTGATAATATATTCTTTCGAACAGTATGTCAGGCGAGATGTCTTGAAGGAGACAAAAAAGATAGCCCAGATTTCTCATTTCTCCATATACACTTTATGTTCTAGATTGAATTACAAAAAGATGGTGAACGGTGTCTATGAGAGAGGCAAGAAAGAAGCAGGCAGCCAGACCTCAGAGGTGGTGGGGAAGAAAATCTCGATATCATATGAGGAAGTGACTGTATGCTTGGAAAATCAGCTAGCAGAAGCTTGGTAGGCAGGATCTGCTTACTGCAGTGCAGCAGGCAGCCACAGGCTAGTGTTTGAAGTATGCTGTCTTATCTATCCTTTTCAAGATTTTTTTTTTTCATTTTACAAGATATTAATTCTTGTAAAACTTGCTTTTTATAAGCTCAGTTGAATTTGGTTGCTTCTCAGAACAACAATAGTCCCCAAGTTAAAGTTTTCAGAATGTTAGTGTCTGCTAAATTCATAATTGTTTATTTATGTTGATAAGAGCATAAGGTGGTGGTAAAAACAAAACAAAAACTCTGCAAATAATTTTTTTCCTCTTACAAAATAATACTATGTCAGTAGTAGACACTGATATTAGAAGAGGTGAATGGTAAAAAGTGGCAGGGTAATATTTACTTTTATTCAAATGTAGGGCTTTTGAAGCATGCGTATGTTTACTGAGGAAAGCAACTGTGCACCTGATATTTACCCACCAAAGATTCTGATCTTTCAGATGAAGTTGTAACAGAATCCCATAGAGTGATGGAGGTAATTTTATAATTATATTTATGTATCTATATTAATGTAATTATAAAATGTCAGTATTATAACTACAGCTGTTCCTTTCAGCTAGTAGGAATGACTGCCTCTTTGCTGATATCTTCCAAGCTTTTTTCCCTATGGATACTTCATGAAAGATAACAACAGTGGCATAAAAGAAGTAGTCAAACTGATGGTGCTTTTTGAAGGTATCTCCATCTTTCTTTTGTAGTGAGAATATGGCTTTTTAGCTACTGAGAGAGGCATCACTTTGAATGAGCATGAGAAGCCACTCTCACTTAAGAAGAGTGTGTTTCTTTATACTCAGAATAATGCTTTCCATAATTCTGGGATTTTCTTTGTGGTTACAGCCTTAGATTAAAAAGGAAGCTTGAAGTGCTGTGGTTTCTGTTCTGCCTGTGATTGCTACATCTGTCATATGGGATCTTTTTCATTTCTAGTTTAATTACAGATCCAGGAATAGTATAGCATTATGTTTTGTTATTTTTCTGCAAAAAGACATCGTCTCTGGAAAGCTGAGGTTTCTTAATATTCCAGTGTTATTTAGACATTGTTTAAAGGTTTATCATTCTGCAGTTATTAGCACCAGAGTATATAAATATTTTTCCATGAAATTTATTAATAAATTGCTGATTTAATTCAGAGTTGTATTCTGTAAAGGACTTATCCAACTGGAAAATCAGTTTGATCAGTTTTCCTTCACATTGAGTGTCCCTAGTTTTAGATGCAACAGCATCCATAGTTCTCCTACTTTTGCATGCATTGGTTGAACCTGGAAGAAAGATTACATAGGAGAAGTGAATGCATTTTTTGTCACGGGGACAAATATTCAGGCTTTTTATGTGTTTTCTTTTAAAACACATTCATCTATACCTGTATCCTCCCCAGATATGTACTCTAATTTTGTGTGTGTGTGTGTGTGGATCCAAAAAAGCAGCATAATATCTTGTTCATAATATAATACAAAATAATAGTGATAATAAAACCATACTATAGTGAGAACCCTTGCCAAAAATATTTTCCTTCCACATTTGATCTTCAGAGCCTTCTTGAAGCTTACTGTGGCCAGATTCTCAGCTTGCTAGCACTAGCATAGATATGGACATGGACCTGACTGACTCTTAAGAAGTGGAGGTTTTATCATATCACACACTTCTGAAACTTATTCCATAGCCATCTATATTCAGAGAAAATATTTGGATTTTTTTTTCATCCCAACCCAGACGATAAACTCCAAATACTTTTGTTTGTTTGTTTTTATAAAAAGGAGATGCTAGAAAAGAGCTGTTGTCATAATTTTTTACTGCCAAATTGGGAAAAAAATAAAAAGGAATTGAATAAGCTTATTTCTGTCCTACTGGAGAGACAAGCTACTATACATCAAGTGTTTGCTCTCAAAAATTACACTTTTGAAGACCTTTCTGTGGAAGTCAATTATCCTGCATGAACAAAAGCAAAGCTTTAGAGTGTGATAATGTAATCTTCAGCAACCTGAATGTTTACTGTCTGTCTTGGGCCCTAAGACTGCTAGATGTGAAGTTCTTTTCAACAGTCCTTCTGCACCTAGAACTGTGCCTGACATGATTTCCACAGACATTTACATGCCTTCTAAGGATTGATCTTGGAATGTACTTTCTAAAGCAGATTTTCTTTTTTTTTTTTTTTTTGTTTGAACTGCGAGGCTGAAATATTGTTCCAGAAAGTTTGTAAGTTTGTGCTGTGGAAAAGCTTACAGACTCCTAAATGAGTATGCATGCAGAGGCAGGTAGAAACAGTAAGTAATCTGGGCAGCAGAGCACAACAACAAATATGTGTCACATAAAGGGGAAAATGCTCAGTTCAAAATGGAGCTTGAGTGACTAGAATCACACCTTTGCTGTGATTGGTGCAACAGAAAAATGAAAAGCTATGCAGTTTTTCAGTCCTACAGTACCACCTAGTTCCCATTCCTGTAATGTTATCACAGAAACTGGCCACAGTGTTTACTCTCCACTCTGCCCTACATGCTGTATCTCTTGGAGTCAGTATAGCTAGCTCCCCTGGTGCTACTAATATCTAAGGTCTGCAGGTCTTAAGAAATAGACTCCTTTCAGATTAGTGCACTTCACTCTGGAGATTTCCGAAATGCTGTACCTTCTCATAAAATGTGGACATCACAATAAGTCATCTCCAATATTTCTTCCACATAGTTCACCTGAGACAGTAGTCAGTCAAGCTTCACAGTGTTTAGAAGGAATTGAGGAGACCACATACAGTCTTGTTATGAGGATGAGAGCTCAAGGAGATCTTAGGTCCCTCAATATTTATGAGATGATTGATTCATAGTCATAGTATTTAGCAAGGCAGTGCTATTATTTCTGAGCAAAGCCTTGAGCACAATGGCCAGGCTGAAGGAGGAGGCTGGGGGATGGGGAGAGTGCAACCTGATGCAGGATAATGAAGCAATCATGCAGAGCTTTCCCTCTGAGTATTTGCATTAATTAGAGCAATGCTCAGTTGGCTCAATATAACTTACATAATTTTCTACTTATGCATTTTCTGTATACAGATAGAACTCATGGTGCCAGAGTATACATCAGCCCTCACCCATCAGGTGTTTCTGTTTTCCAGAGGATTAACCACATGGTTTTCTAGAGTCAAAGCCATTCCTGAGCAACTCACTCTCTATGGGACTGAGATCACAGATGGCATCTGGGTTTTGTCGCTATAGAAGTCAATGTTCTCTGAAAAACGTGCACCTACTCTGAGTAATTAGGATGATTTTTAATAGCTTATACGCTCCTAGACCATCTATGCTGACAGAGAACTTGGTTTTGCTGGAAGTACATTGTCTCTTGTAGAAATTATTTGATTTTTACCTTCTAGAAAAAGGTACCATAAAATTATTGCTTTTTTTTTTTTTTTTTTAATATCTAGCTAGCAAATTACTTTATGTAAAGAAGCAGAAGGTATATTACATGTATCAAAAATTCACTGACCTTTTTGCACTCTTGGCTTCCAGCCGTTTCCAATAGTCTCTGGATTAATTAATTCTGTAATTAATTCTTAGAACTTTTCAAAGTCCTTGTCAATGTGTTGTGTTCAAATTCCTACCAGTTGCTAACCTCTTCTCTAATCTTTTAGTGTTTCCCCAATCATTTATTTGTAAGCAATGAAAAACAGGCAACATCATCAGACCCAAAGTGTCTTCTGGTTCTTTGATTTTCTATCTATCTACCTACCTACCTACCTACATGTCAATCTATGTATTATATATTGCATATTACATTTTACCCCGTAGTAAATCAACTTCAACGCAGGTTTGGAATGAGAACTTAACAGTTACTGAAGAACGTGTTGAGTGGCTGGGAAAAGTGTAACTGAAAACCCCGTGCTGAAGCTTAGTGAAATCATAGAGCGATTTTGGTGACTTTGTAGGACTTAAATGTCACCAGCATTGCTAAACTTGCTGGTCTATATCTGGAGGTGAACAGAAATATATGGTAGCCTAGGTGCATTTTTTGGCAGAGATGAGATAAATACATACGCCAAGTCTGCCTGAAAATCAGAAAATTTTTCATCTTAGCCCAAATCCTAGTGGCATATTATGCTTACACAGACCACCTGAGTTCAAAGCATTTTATGTTAAGACACTAAATGCCAAACATAGCCCTCTGCTCTGCATGAACACCATGAGTGCTTAAGTTCTCTGCAGGGCTGCAAATGCTTGGGAAAAGCATGTCTGTATTTTCCTGTGTGACTCTGCCATTTCA